ATGTAAATGCAGCTCTTTCAGTATCATCAGGATAATCTGAAGTGCGTGCTTTTTACCAGTTCCGGAAACGAGATTTTGCTGACCCACTGATTTTGAGTCATCCATTCCCACTTTTAATCCTCTTTGCCCATTCTTGAAATAAGCCAGTTTCTAGGATTGTAAATACATTGGATGGCTTTGGCCTCTTTTTGCCTGTGACAGCCTAACTCACCAAATTAAAAATAATTTTTTAACCTTGTTCTTATCAGCTCCATGACCTCACTAACTTAAAATTGCTGGCTCATATATAAAGATAGTAATGCATCCTTCAAAGCATATACCTGAGAATTAAACAGATGAAATAATTCTGAAGAAGTCATAAAGCTTAGACATTAGTTGAACTGCTATGCCCTTAATAATACCATTAGGTCAAAATTCTTCACAGGATGTCACCTAGGTTAGTGAAAATTGTTTAAGCTCCGGAGAAAAATCAACCAGGATTCAGAATCTGTTACCTTGTGATTTATATGATCTTGTGCAAATCATTTAATTCCTCATTTATGAAAATTCAAAATCACACCCACTGCTGTAGTCAATTGGACACAAGGTAACCTGTTTGTTACAGAGTAGAATTGCTCCATAGGGTTTTCTTGGATGTAATCTTTACAGAAAGAGATCACCAAGCTTTTCTTCTGTGGTACCGCTGGATGGGTGCAAACCACCAACCTCTGTGTTAGTTCAAGCCAACTGTCATCGGCTCAATTCCAACTCACAGTAGTCTTATGTCAGGTTTCCAAGACTGTACATTTTTCACATGAGCTGACAACCTCATCTTTTTCTTTCAGAGGGGCTTTCTCTCAGATTCATCTTTGTGGCTAACAGTCCAGTTAGTAGCTGAGTGCAAACTTGTTGTATCACTCAGGGACCTCCCTCGCCTATAACAAGAAATTAATAACAGAACTTAACTCAATGGGATTTTTATGAAGATAAAATGAATATTAAGTCCAAGTTAGCACTTTATAAGTAAAAGCTATGACTGTATATTTATGTCATAGTATTTAAGAAACTTCTGAAGTTTGTCCCTCTCTATTTCCTCTAGCATGAGAAGCTGATACACGAATTGGAAGAAGAGAGACACTTGCGTCTTCAAAGTGAACAGCGGTTACAGGAGGTGACGCTGGAGTCTGAACGAAACAGGATTCAGATGCGTGGCCTGCAGCAGCAGTTCTCCAGGTATCATTCATGAAACGAGCGTATTGCTTTGTGAGGTGCAGCATCCTTCCATTGCACCAGTAACACCTTTCATTGAATTTATATTTTGCAAGATTCTTCTGTCTTTGGTGAGCTAATATCTTAACCATTTAGACCTTCTTTTCGGATCACACCGTCCTATTGCAATTGGACCAGTTTTCTGAAACTTTCAGTTTGCCCTTGACCTTGCTGGGCTTTATAGAAGTTGGTTGTCTTTTCCTCCTTGATGGCTTCCCCAGGGGTCTTCCATTGAGTTGCAATGCCTTTGTGGCCTGTGGGAATGTCCTTTGAGAGGCTAGGTCAGTGGATGAGATTTCACAGGTCATCATTTTAAAGTAGAGAGAGACTGGGAATTCAGTCAGATGGTAAGGTCTTACTCATTGCTTAGAGGAAACATTTAGAAGCAGTAAAAATCAAAGTCAAAGTCAATGAGTTCCTGTCCTTTAAAAGGAGAGAACTAAAATCTGAAAGGAGGATTGTGAAAAAAGCAGCTCTTTTAGATTGAATTCCAGCACACTCTGAGTCTTTCGGCTTCCAATTATAGTTAATGTGGGCCAGGTGGAGGGTCAGCCTCCTATGTTAAAAGCCATTCAACTCACTGGAAAAAACCTCACAACTTGTCCAGTTATAAAACCAGGGACCAGATACCAGACAGTCTATTTTCATGCCTACATTTTTCCTTCACCATTTGCTAAATCAAGAAAATTATTTTTCTTGTACTTCTCCTCATGAGGTTCTCCCAGGTGTTTGAGTTTGAAAGTGTCCTTAACATCTTCATGGGCTACTATCCCAATTCCAGTGTGGGATTTGAGGTGATTCAGACTTGCTTTTCTATATGACTGGGCTATTGGTAGTTCCATGGTGGTAGGATTCTTGCCCTCGTGTGGGAGTCCTGAGTTTGATTCTGGACAATGTAACTGTGTGTAGCCTCCACCTCTGTCAGCGGAGGCTTGTGCATCACTATGATACTGAATAGCTTTCAGAGGTGCGTCCTCCTGACTAAAATGGACTAGGAAGAAAAGCCTGCTGATCCCTGCTGTGCATGGGATCATCATGAGTCAGGGTCCACTCTAGGGCAGCTGGCAACAACAACGTACAGTTGGTGATGGTGATATTGCTTCCTCATAAAGAGGCTTTTATTCTGATAACTTTCTTTTCTAGATGAACTGGAAGAAAAAGGCAAATCTTCTATTTTGCCTCATGCCACGAATGTTGTGATTTAGTTTAGTGGGTTTCTTAGAGGAACAGGGCAGGAAGGATGGATTACTGGTCATTGTGCGGTGTCATAATTTAACACCCTGTCAGAATACCGAGCCTTTTGTCATACACAGGTGCTGTGGAAAGGTACCAATCAATACTCTAACAAATGCGTGGCCCACCCCTTGCAGGCGATTGCTTGTCCCACCTTATGCATGGTTTTTCATCCAGTTTGATGGCCAATCTCCTTGCATAGTTGCCAACTGAAAATAATAGATATCCCCACCTGCAGCAACTTTGAAATAACCGCTGAGAAGGAAAATCTTACTTCTCTTGCACTGTATAATTGAGATGTCTTTGTGTTCAAGCTATTGATTTACAGGTTGTGAGACACATGGCCCAATAAATTATGTTCATATGATGCTGGGTCATCTGTTGTAAATCAAATGACAATCCTGTACAGATTTGAATTGCCCAAGAGCCAGGACTACATCCTGGCTGAAAAGAGAAGATAATTGTATGTAAAGTAAATAGTGGTCCGTTTTACATACTGATCTCATGAAGATTTTAATTTCCCCAGCATAATCCGTTTTCTCTTGTAAAGCTTCACTGAAACTGAGAAGTTCAAGTCCAATTATAGACAGACAACTGTGTAAATCAGCAAAAGATAGGGAAAAGAAGCAAATATAACAGATAATTACACAATGATTTGAGTGGATCCACTGAACCATTTCTGATGGCCTTTCACATTTTAAGCTTTGCTTTTAAGTTTATTTCTAGTTAAGGCTATTTTAACGGTTCTGTTATTATAATTTAACTTGGTAAAGTTCTCAGCATTACAGAATGTGTCTGTAATGCATCATCCGTATTCATGGTCAGTGTCCAAATGGTCATACAAGTAATTTATATAATCAAAGTCATTGTGTTCAATTAAAAACATTTATAGCCATAATTTTCACCTTTTTTCTTGGACTGATGAGTTCGTTTTATATATATATGATATTTTCTGGGATGTATAATTATTGTGAACATTGTTCATGGACCAAGGTTACTTTAAAAAATTGTCTATAAAGAATTATGAATGTAAGGCAGCTTATAATACAAGATAGGCTTACAGTAAGGTTGATAAAAAGAGAAAATAAAAGACTGTGAGAAAGAGAATGTGGCCAATAATCATAATTATATAGACGAACATATTTTCTGAGAAGGATCATTTAATTTAGCTCAAGGATTCCTGGCAGCCAAGATAAAAAAGCGAAACACAAAAGGATGTATAATTTTTACTTCGTGGTGGTGGTGGCTGTGTGCCGTGGAGTCGGTTCCAACTCATAGTGACCTTATACAGTGTTTCCGAAGCTATAAATCTTTACGGGAGCAGAAAGCCCCATCTTTCTCCCACGGAATAGCTGGTAGTTTCAAACTGCTGACCTTGCAGTTTGCAGCCCAATTCGTAGTACGCTACCAGAGCTCCTTAATTTTTTACTTCTTAGACAAGGCTAAACCAGTTTCCCTGGAGTCCATTCTGAGTCATTGACAATCCCGTGCGTGTCCAAGTATAACTGTGCTCCACAGCATTTTCATTGGCCCCAGAAGTTGATCACTAAATGTTTATTCCATGGTGCCTCTGAGTGGATTTAAACCTTCAGCTTTTCAGTTGACAGATTGAGCACATTTATCACTTACACCATCCAGGGACTCCAGACAAAGACTTCTTTGCCCTAAAGGAGAGAAACAGCATCTCTGTTAAATAAGCTGTATTATACAGGACTCTTGAAGGATACCATATACAATGCCCAATATGATACAAATAGCAATGAGTTCTTAGAATTAGGACTGTTATGCTTACCCAATAGCTTACTCAATTATTGAATCAAAAAATAAAAAAATAGGGGTATTGGATCCATAGTTAAATAATAACTGGTAGAATAGAAATAACTCTGAAGTTGAATTTCTCGTCTGGTGTTATTACTGTGAATTCATGCAAACTTGCAAACATGTGCATTGTGTCTTTCATATGTCTGTTTCTTGAACCCGGGCACAGATGCACACCTTGATACGTTGGGTGAAGTATTTTCCAGGTGTGTTACATGGCATGGTAGCCAGCATCTACATAGTGGTGGTGGTGGTGGTGGTGGTTATGTGCCACCATCTACATAGTGGTTACGGGTAATTTGGAACTTCAGATATGGGGTTGAGAGAGACACTGGAAAGGAAAGTAAATAATGAATCTAGAAGCTGTGGCAGTCAGATCTCTGTGGGAAGTAGAGTTCAGCTGTTAGGATGAACGATTCAGGAGAGGTAGTGGGGGCTTATTTCAGACAATTTTAGTTGTGTGATGAGTCTGCTGGTTGAAAGGTACCAGACAAACTTGATTATGCAGACTTCTGCACTAATGAATAATGGGATCATTTAGATGATAAAAATATTTCCTTGAGCAGTTCCATTATGTCATTACCAAACCTTCGTTCATAATCTCTCCCTTTTCCCTTGACCTCACGGGGGGAAGAGTAAATGAGCACCAGTGTCCAAAACTTGGACAGTGGTAAAGCAAAGATGTGAATAGAGGTTGTTCAATCAGCTCTACACGCAGACATCTGAAATGGCTTGTTGTTGCTGTGAGGGAGATCTAGACAAGACATAAACAACTTGGTTTGGACCACACTGTGGAAAAAAGCGCTGGACCACAGGTCTGTTTGAACCACAAGGACAATTGTTCAAATTAACCAGCTGCTTCTTGGAAACCCTATACAGAGTCTCTATGAGTCTGAACCTACTCAATGACATTTAACAACTTAACAACAATGTAACTAGAGTCCTGAGGTGGCACTGAAGGATAAACCAAAAGGTTGGTTTGAACCTCAAGGTGGGAGTTCAAACTCACCAGCTGCTCCTTGGAAACCCTATACAGGGTTGCAATAGGTTGGAACCAACTCAACAACACTAAATGCAGAGATTAAAAAAAGATATTTTGAAATTAACCCTTCCCTACAGTCCTGGTGTGGTGCTGCTAACTGCAAGAACTTCTCGGAAGCCCTATACAGGATCACTATGAGATGGAACTAACTCAACTGTAATTAATAACAGCAGCATCAGCACAGTTAGTGAGCAGTTCAATAGGAACCACATAGAAACATGTACAGTCTTTAGGCTGCCCATGTCTGTCTTGTTATTTGATGATATAAATTAAAGATGCTTTCCAGATGTGGAAAATAATCTTTAACCCCACATCTATGTGCTATATGTATATCTCTATCTATATATATCTCTATAGATATATATATGACTGGACATATTTTACATTGGGTTAGCTTTGTCCTGTGTCATCCACAGTGAAATGTTCCTACCTCCCCACCTCTCTTATGGATGGCTTGTTTGACTTGTGATTGTCCAGTCAGCCAGGATTTGTGTTGTGAACAGCAGCTATGCTCTTGACTTCCTTCTCGAGTCAAGATGGCTCCTGCTTGAACCCTCAGCCTTGTTACTCCATGTTGTATTAGGAAGTGTTTGTGCATCAGTTAGTCTGCTGAAGGAGCACTTTGAGGACTCTCTGGAACATTGTCTCAAAGACAAGTGGGGCATGTCAAGGTGAAATAGCAGTGCCTTATTTTATAGACTAACACCATGCAAACTATGCATGATTTGCCACATATATTTGTGTGGGTCCCTTTGAAAACAACCTAATCAAAGCATAGATTATTACTAGCAGCTGCTGTTCTTTTCAGGCAATAAATCGCATTAATTGTGTACACAACTACAGTAGAACAGAGTATATATCCTCAAAAAAT